CTTTATTTCAGAACTTCACAGCTTGCACAATTTATTGAATAATTGTTTTGTTCTGTTGCAGAACTGGAGACTGAGGTCAGGGCCCTCACCCTGAGTATATCCCCAGCCTTTTGATTTAATTTTATTTTCAGATAGGGTCTGCTGAGTCACTTATTTGCCCAGGCTGGGCTTAGAATCGCCATCCTCCTGCTTCAGCCCCTCAGAGAGCTGGCATTGCCACTCTGCACCACCACATCTGGCTGAAGAGCAGTTTTTCTTTCTTTCCGGCCTTCCTGCTCACTCGTGAGGATGCCGTTTCCAGTTCCAGGGCTATGGTTTCTCCTATGGGGAGGGGACGCCCCTGCCTTGGTCTCCAGGGCCCGCTGCCCTTGGGCCTCATTTTCGCATCTGTACCTCCCTTGGGTCCACAGAGCTGCCACAGACCCCACCAGAGCTTTCGAGCGCCTTCACTTGGGTCCCTTTGGGCCTGCAAGTCATTTCTGATTCTGTGGGTTAAATATGTTGATAAACACTGCTTTTCCCAGGGCAACTTTGCCATCATTTTTTCTCTCCTTTTTTTTCCCCTCCCAGAGACAAGGTTTTGCTGTGTAGTTCAGGCTGGCCTCCAACTGTCAGAGGCCCGCCTGCCTCAACCTCCCAAGCCACCATGCCCAGTAATCTCCATATTTCTTGCTCTTTTTGCTTAGACTTTAGAAAAAGTTTCAACAGGCAAATTGAGCAGCTAAAGCAATAGACTGGAAGGCGAAGGGAAGAAGGGCCAGGGTCTCTGGTTTCCAGCGTGCGGTCACGTGAGGACCGGCTGTCAGGCCAGCTGCCGTGAGCCTGGATGCCCTTGGCCAATGAAGGAAGCTATGGTGAAAGCAGCCCTCATGGGTGGGATCCCCCTGCGGCCCCCAGCCTTGGCACAGACCTGGCAGGAGCACTGCAAACACGGCCAGGGGCCCCCACGGGGCGAGCCGGGAGCCCACCGCCCGCCTGCTCACCTCGGGCCACCCTGGCTCCCCCAGGCACAGGGTTTCTGTATTCTCACAAAGAGCGAGGTTTTCAATTCCGTGTTCTGAGAGGCTGTCTCAGGTTTAAACTGCTCGTAGGAGTCTTATAATTATTCCAAGTGGCCAGCACACTGGATACTTTCACTTGTCTGTCACCTGTGAAGCCACTTAAATGCGTCCCACTCTCTGCTCTGTATCTTTGAGGATCTGAGTTTTCAAACGCATTGAGTGGTCACCCTCAGTTTTGTTTTCAGGCCAATTGCTTGGAAGCTGGCTGGCCTGGAGTATTATGTATCGAAAGCGTCCAGTTAAGAATCGTGTGGTGTCACAGGATCACGGAGCCGCGGCAGGGAAGCTTCGTATGGGAACGTGGACATTCATCTCGGCTCAAGTGCCTTTTCATGAGCCATGCTTAATTCCTGAGTAACCAGTTATCACTGAGCTCTCCGGAGGTAACCCGATGCACTCTGCCAAGCACATAAAGGCCAGTAATTTTAGTAAAATTCCGCCAACAATGGTATTTCAGACGCACCCTAAAGAGGCATTTATCCGCTGAGCGTTTTCCTTATTCACAGAGGAGACTGTTAAATGCCACGCGGCTTCCTTTGGCTTGTGTGAGCCACGCAGAGGAGCTCCTGAGGTGTCCGGTCCGCTGGGTGGCTGGTCCCCGGGGCGCGTCTGGCACCATCTTGCCCTGCATGGCTCTGGGGGAGGGGACGAGTGCAGCTGTGCCCGCCCTGCAGGGCGCCCCGGCTGTCACTGCCAGGCCCCTCCTGGCTCTCTAGGTTTGCTCGTTTCAGAAAGTTTGCGTGTCCTCCGCTGGGTCCACATGGCACCAACTCAGAAAGCGGAACCAATGCCCACTTAGCAAGCATGGTTCCGGGCAGGCTGTGTGCTTCCGATTGATTTCCACAGCCCCCAGGGCCCTCTGCCTTCCCAAGGCCCTGCCTGTGCTCCTGTTCCCAAGTGCGGGAAACCAGGGGACGGCAGGGAGCTCTGGCTTCTTTTTGTTTGGTTGGTTTGGTATTTTTGAGACCGGGTCTTGTTATGTAGTTCAGGCTGGCCTCAAACTCGTAGCAGTCCTCCTGCCTCAGCCTTGTGCATGCTGGGACTCCTGAAGTGCACCACTACGCCTGACTGTCAGGTACTGCTAATTTTTTTAAAAGCTTTAACTTTTTAATTTAAAAAACAAAATTGAGTGGATACGTATCTAAGTGTAGCTCTTGCTACCTGCTCAGTCCGTCCACCTTCGGGATGTATAGGGTGACTTGCCAGGGAACGGCTCCGACACATGTTCTTGCTGTCGGGGAAGACGTACCTGTCCAGGCCCTGGCCAGGTCAGCCGCGGGCCTCCGCCTTTCCAGGTGGAATGTGGAGTTTGTTGTGTTCCTCGGGGGCTCGTGTTCCCTTCTGGCGGGGAAGTGGCATGTCACCAATACCTGGGCGGACCTGTGATTCACATGCCTGTTTCCAGCCAGGGCCTCGGAGGCCAGTTCCCTGGGGACCGCGAAACCCTAGCCGCGCCCGCCCGCCGCTCACCCCGCCCGGTTCCCAAGGAGCAGCGCTTTGCTCACACAGCCTCGCGGTGCACGCGCCGCTGATCGCCCCGGTGTTGCTATTTTGGTCAACCGAACGCCCAGCCAAGGGCAGCGGGGTCTTTTGTGCATGCCCAGAGCTGGCTCCAGGAACTCTGAGTGGGGTTTCAGGACGCAGCACTGCTAGCGCCTGGCAGCCACCCTCGCCAGGAATCCTACGACGAGGACTTAGCTCACAGCGGGGCCTGGGACCCTGAGGTCTGGCCAGGACAGGAGTGGATTCGCCATTTGTGATTAGACAAGAGCAGGGGGCAGGACAGAGCGGCCCCTGCCGCCCTACACCCTGCCGAGCAGTCGCAGCCGGCACCAGGGAGCGCGGGTGCCCAGGAGCCCGGGCAGGCCAGCATCAGCGAGCCCCGGCACCGAGGGGCTGGCTGCACCCGAAGGCCGGGCTCCTGAACTGTCCCCGTGGGCTGGCCGCTTCTCCGGGCCTCTGTTTCCTACCCAGGAGAACAGGTTCAAAAACGGCATCCGCACCACGGCGAGATAGGCCTGGGGAAGGGCTGTGGAAGCGTGCGGCCCTTAACAGTTGCATGATGAGCTCGCACCTCCAGTAAGTGCTCCAGAGGCAGCTGCCTGGCGACCTCTCAGCTGGCGGCGGGGTCTCAGCTGCTGGCCGCCAGAGGAAGTGGTGCTGATTGGCAGCCAAGGCCCTAGGCTGACCTGGGGCAAAGCAGCTCGTTCTTAGCCAAGTGTGATGTCTGCCTAGACCTACGAGTGCTTTTTATCAGGTGCCCCCATTCTTATTGTCACGACAGTTTTTGTCATTTTGGATACTGAATTTTTTTCAAGTGCTTTTTAAAAAGATTCACGTGTGATTGTGATTTTTTTTTTTTTTTGCCATGACACTTGTTAATAGTGTGGCTTACAATGATTACATTTTATGTATTTATTTGTTTTTATCTCTTTAAAAAATGTATTGGCAGTACTGGAGATTGAACCCAGGCCCTTGGCACTGAGGTATATCCCCAGCCCTTTTAAATTTTTTCATTTGGAGACAGTTGCTAAACTCTCCCAGCCAGGCTCCAACTTGTGATCCTCCTGCCTCAGCCTCCCCTAGTGCTGGGATTACAAGTGTTGCACCCCTACTCCTGGCTTAAACCTTAAATCCCTAACCAGTCCTGTCTCACTGAAGCAAACCCCACTCGGCCCAGGCGTGTAATTCTTCCAGTATGTTACTGGATTCCACGGTTTGTGGAGGATTTCTGCAGTGTATCTGTGAGAGATGTTTGTGTTTTCCTTCTTGAGCTCTGTCTTCATCTGGTTTTGATACCAGGGTAAAACTAGCTTCAGTTGATAAATTAGGAAATGTTACTTCCTCTTCTGTTTGCTGAATTGATGTTACTTCATTAAGAGCCTCATGGATTTCTTCAGAAACCATGTGGGCCTGGAGAGTTGTTTTTATAAGAGCTTTTAAAGTAAAGAATTCAATTTTCTTAATAATTGTAGGACTCGTGTCTCACGTCGAAAGGCTGGTCAGTGGCTGTTTCTCTTCTGTCACACTTACGTGTGCAGCTATCTTTAGTAATCCCTCCCTGTCCTGTCTCCTCTTGATACTGGTAATTTGTGTCTTGTTTTTCTCTTCAGTCTTGCTGGAGATTTGTCCATTTTATTCATCCTTTCAAAGAACTGCCTCTCCGTTTCATCCATTTTTTTTTTCTTTCTTCTCCCCCTCCCTCTCCCACTGCTCCTTTTTTCCTCTTCTTTTACACTGGGGTTGAACCCAGGCCTTTGCTTTGAATTACATCCCAGGACTTTTTTTTTTAATTTTGAGAAAGATTCTCACTAAGTTGATGAGTTTCCCAGGCTGGGCTCCAGTTGAAATCCTCCTGCCTCAGCCTCCCAAGCGCTGGGATTACAAGTGTGCACCACTATGCCCAGCTAATCACTGCATTCTTAAGATCAGCAGTGTAGCACTGGCTGCCCCTTGGGTTTGGTGTTGTCCCCCTGTGGAAGTCACACCTGAATCTGCCATGCACGACCCATCGGTGCCCAGATTCCGGTCCCGATCCTGGTCCCGGTCCCACGGTTCTCTCTCCCTGCTCTCCTCCGGAGCCGCCTCCTGTGCTGGGTGAGGTTGCTGCATTTGCCACAGGACGACCCTGAAGGTGTCGGGCCGTGGTGGCAGCACACCACACGTACCGTAGAGCGAAGTGACATCCTCGTCCTCAGCTTCTGTGGCTGAGACCTGAGCGCTGACCCTCTCCCTTCTTGGTCACGAAGTGCCTAAAGGAAAAACCTGCCACACAGTCTCCTGGTCCCCTCAGGCAGGGCATGTGCTGGGGTCATTGCAGCCACAGCTTCGCAGGGAGATCGGGGCAGGGCCACGGCCTCCTCCCGTCGCAGCGCTGCGCCTCACAGGGGTTGTGGCCGCTGGTGGGAGGCCCCGCACTCACCCCTGTCCCCTTCAAAGCAGGAGGACCATGACACCATGGAAGCGGACCTGGACAAGGACGAGCTGATCCAGCCCCAGCTCGGGGAGCTCTCGGGCGAGAAGCTGCTGACCACGGAGTACCTGGGGGTGAGCGCCGCACGGCGGGCGGGGGGGACGCGGCTGTGTCTCACAGATGTCCCGGGAACACAGGGTCCATGCAGCTTCTGGGCAGGGTCCTGGACACCTGTAACAGGTGGCGGCAGCAGGACGGGGAACGTGCTGGGGCCCTGGCCGTGACACAACCTTGGCTGTCGCTTCTGCTGCTGAGGAAGGCATCGGCACGCGGGGAGGGCAAAGCCGCTGGAGCAGACGAGGCTGCCCAGCAAAGTGGAGCCTGAGACAGAGCGCAGGGACTGAGGACAGGGTGCCGGGCACCCCAGGCTTGGGACAGGGAGGAGGCGCAGGAAAGGGACAGAAAAACAGCTGGGGGCGGGAGCAGAAGAGAGCCGCGCTTCAGGGTGGACCCAGCCGTCAGTCGGAGCATCTGAGGGGCTGAGGAGCTGGCCCAGGGGACCCCAGTGGCTCCACCGCTCAGCCAGCTGGGGCCGTGGGACGCGGCTGGGAGGCAGACGGGAGGGAGGAGCGGGCGGGTCAGTCAGCTGCCGGGCTGTGCTCAGTCACCCCAAGCCCCGCAGACAGGTGCCCGAGGCTCCCGGGGGCGTCTGGAATAAACCGTGGGAAGGACGTGGCTGTCAGCGCCGGGGGCCATTCAGTGAGAAGCGAGTCTTCCAGCACCTGCAGGGCATAAGCAGGCTACGGGGAGCGCAGGACGCCAGCGGGTGTGGCTCCTTTGCAAAGCAGGGAGACTCCTGTGGAGACGGCGGTGCCTGTGCCCTGGCCCCACGGTCCTCACGCACGGCCCCCAAGCCCATCAGGGCCAGCACACTGCTTGCTGCGTGCTTGTGTGTCTCGCTGGTCAGCAGCGATTGCGTGGAGAAGTAATGAGAATGGAGTACGAGCTCAGCATGGTGGCCGCACCTGTAATCCCAGCACTCAGGAGGCTGAGGCAGGAGGATCGCCAGTTCAAGGCCAGCCTGGGCTGCATAGTGAGTTAGAGGCCAACATAGCAAGACCCTGCCTCAAAAAATAAAACAAGAACGAGGCACAGATAGAATTCACTGCAGATGTGAAGTCCAAGCGCTTTCATTCTCATGGTTTGAATAACAGAATACTGAGAACTGGGGGTTTTGAAACCTCGGAAATTCACCCTCACAGTGTTGGAGGTAGAAGTCTAAAACCAAGAGGTTGCCGGCCCGGGCTCCCTCGGGGGCTTGAAGGGAGAGTCCTTGTCTTCTGCCCTGGCCTGCGGCGCAACCTGTGATCTCCGCCTCCGTCTTCAGCACAGCCCCGCTTCTCTGTGTGCTCCTCTGCTGTGCCCTGGGGAGACCCACGTGACTGTGCTTGGGGGGCCCCGGGACAGTCTCCCAACAAGGCCACACTACAGGTTCCGGGCCCAGGATGTACACTGAGCTTTGGGAGGCTGCTGTTGAGCCCGCCGCCCTGGGCCCACGAGGGGCCTCCTCCTAGGAACACCTGTACCTGACTAGAAAGAAATAACATCTGCATCGCACAACTCCAAGGTCCCACGTGCACTCCCCGCCTGCCACTGGTCACCTGTCACCCCGAGTCCACCTCAGCCACCCAGGCCGGGATCTGAAGCCCCCAGCCAGCCAGCGGCCCTCGTGTGCTGGGCCACAGATTCCCAAGAGGCTCCGGCCATGCTGTGGCTCTCATGGCACAGAAGGCAGAAGACGTCTCCCCCGGGAAGGTGAGCCTGGAAGGCAGGACCCAAGGCCTCGTTCTGGTGTATTGGGGCCTTGCGGGTTTCCCCAGGTAAGTCTGAAGATGGGGCCTTTTGAAATACTTGGTCAGAAACATTATATTTGAAAAGTTCTCAGCCGGGCGTGGTGGCGCACGCCTGTAATCCCAGCACTCAGGAGGCTGAGGCAGGAGGATCATTGTGAGTTCGAGACCAGCCTGGGCTACAAAGTGAGCTCAAGGCCAGCCTGAGCTGCATATTGAGATCCTGTCTCAAAAAGACCAAAAAAAAAAAAAAAAAAAAAAAAAAAAAAAGAAAAGAAAAGGAAAGTTCTTAAACCATTTGCTTAAGACAGTGGAGAAGCTGAAGGTACAGCTGCTGCCTTGGTGAGACTCACAGAAGACAAGAGACAGAAGACAGCTGTCCGAGAGGTGGCCACACTGGCCAGATGTCGGGGGGTTGGCAGGCAGCACCCCAGGAGCCGGAGCTGGGCCCATACCATGAAGTGTGGGTTTAGAAGTGGCTGGGCCGGCCCCTGACCCCCGACCCGAATCCTAGGAGTCGGTACCGAGCTCACCAGTGACCCAACACCCACCAGGAGGCGGCACTGCAGCGGCAGACCTACTGCGGTGGGGGGCGGGGGTGCAGGAAGTGTCCCTGGGGACCCTGGACGCAGAGGGTCCCCCCCAACCCCGGGACCTGTAGCCACCCCTGCCCCCCACCCCAGGTCACAGCCCCCAGCCCCCGAGGGCTGCAGACAGGAACGAGTCAAGTCGCTCTTCTCACGCCTGCGAGAGACCAGCGGGGGTCCCGGCGCCTGTGCCACCCGGCTTGGTTCTGGTGAGACTTGGCGCGGCCGCAGGTCACCCAGGCTCACAGCTCACCCCGCCTGTCCTGCAGCAGCTTTGGGGGAGCTTTCCCTGTCACCCACTGTGCTGAACAGTCCCCAGCTCTCCCACGGAGAAGCCCGAAGTTAAACAGCTGCTTCAGCTGCGCACAGAGCACGGACACATCCTAGCGGCCCTGCTTTCTGCGTTTGTTTTGAAGTAACCTTTGACAACAGTGACGGGCGCGCCTCACGGGAACTCAGCCCTCAGCCGGATGCTTCTCACACCTGACTGCATTTCGTCTTCCCAACAAACTTACTGGGCACATCCGCTAGAGCCTACATTATTTACTTATTTCCTTCTGTTTTTTGAGACAGAGTCTCACTATGTGTTCCCGGCTGATCTTGAACGGGCTATGTAGCCCAAGCTGGCCTCAAACTTGTGGTGATCCTCCTGCCTCAGCCTCCCGCCTACTGAGATTACAGGCCACCAAGCCTGGCTTTCTCCCTATATTTTTTGAACACCTCTGTCTGTGACAAGTTTGGAATGCTTTACCGACATAAACATAGAAAGTCATGTTTCTGTCACAAGTGTGACGAGTTTGCAGTGTTTGCTGCCGGGAGTGAAGGAGGTGAGATAGAGTTTAACCAGGTGTGTGTGAGGTTGCGATTCTGGGCTGAGATTTCCTTCCTTCTTTTCTCCTGGCATGGGAAGTTGTCTTCCCAGGGGAGCCTTTTATCTCCGCTGGGGAAGACCCAAGTGCCCTTCTTAGGTGAGCTGTTTTTCAGGTGCCTTTAGCACAAGATAACCCTCAGGCCAGGGTGGCACATTCCACCACCCTTCGACAGCCAGATGTGCGAACGTGTCATGTTTTCTTGCACACCGATGGTTGCTGAGTACCCTGAACCCCTTCCTGCCCCAGTCCTTGGACTGGAGAGAAGTGGCTGAGGCAGATGCATTTCCCCCACTGCGGAACTCAACCCAGTGTCTCCTTAGCAAACTAGGAAGTTGCCTGTGACTATCCCCGAACCAGGTGACACGGGAGGTTACAGGGAAGTCTGAGGACATAGCAGCATGAAGTGACTAAAATGAAAATATATTACTTTGCCGTGCACAGCGCAGTATACTTGTAACCCCAGCTACTCAGGAGGCTGAGGCAGGAGGATTGCAAATCCTATTGTGAATGAGTCACAAATTCTCAAAACTAATAAATGGGAGGTAGATCCCCCCACTGACATGTGTTGATCATAATTTGCTGGAGAATAAATTGCATGCAGCTCATTATGATCCCATTTATACTGAGGATTGCAATCTTTTGAATTATTGCATGAAATTCATGTATGTTGCCCAGAAAAATTCAAGGAATGAGAATTTGAAGAGAAACAAATTAAATTGTGTTCTGTGGTTATGGGGGTGTCCAGAAACGGAACTCCAGGCTGGGGATTTAGCTCAGTGGCAAAGCGCCTGCCTGGCAAGCGCAAGTTCGTGAGTTCGGTTCCCAGTACCGGAGAAAAACCAAGAAAAACCAGAAACGGAACTCCAGGCCTTGAAGGTGAGTGAGACCCAGGGAGGTCGGGCAGAGTGCAGAGGCAATCGCAGTCAAAACCACAGGTGCCAAGGAACGGGGCCGCATTCCTTCTTTTTTCTTTTATTTCCAGTACTGGGGACTGAGCCCAGGGCCTTTGCACTGAGTGGCATTCCCAGCCCCTGTGTGCATTTATTCTGAGGCAGGGAGTCACATCTGCAGTCACTCGTAGCAGAGCCCTGAGACAGGAAGCGGGTGAGGGGTCAATCCACAGGCTTTCTTCTGCCTTGTCAGTTTTATAGTGATTTCTCCTTTCAACCATTTTTCTTAATTATGAACAAAACCCTAACCAGGTTACAGAAAACTTGGAACAAAGAAAATCAGAATTACTCTCAGTTCTGCTGTCCAGTAACCACTCCGCATATTTCAGGTTTCATTTCCTTGCAGCTTTGTGTACTTTTAATATAACTGAAAGGATTGCTTGTGTGCATTATTATTAGCTGATACGTATTTAATGTTTTAAATAAACATTTTTCTTCATAACTGCTTACTTCTCAGGAGAAATGGCCATATAATATGTCAGCTGACTGGGCCGTATTTTACTTCTTCTTCTACTAATAGACAGTGTTCAGTTTTACTCCATAGTAATTTTATAATGAGCAACCTCATTGAACATTTTCCTTATTTTGGATTCTTTAGGTGGAATTTACACCCAAAGATATGAGCATTTTTATGACTCTTGATATAAAACACCAAATCACGTTCCCACAGTTATCTCTAATACCGGCGGTGCCATATCTCCAACCTTATTTCCCAGCAATGGAGAGAACCATGTCTTGGTCACTCAGATAACAGCTGAAAAGTGGTACTTTCTTTTTCTTTTTTTTTTTTTTTTAAGTGTTTTAGAGACAGGGTCTTACCAGGCAGCCCAAGCTGCCCTTGAACTCATGGCAATCCTCCTGCCTCAGCCTCCCAAGTGCTGGGATTACAGGTGTGTGCCTGTAAATGCCTGGCCCACATTTTTGTAAGATTGTGGTTTCTAATTGCATGTAAAGTTGATCATTTTCCTTCTCTTTACTGGTAGTACTTCATATTCTGCGGTGGGTCTGTGTGAATGCTTTGCCGGTGGTTGGTAGGAGCTCCTAATGAAAATGTTAACCTTTTCGTTATTACATTTGCTGCAAGCACTTCATCCCAATTTGTGGTTTGCTGCCTCTGCCTACACAGGAAATGTTAATTTTTTATTATCTCAAGTCTGTGCATCTTTTTCCCCTGTCACTTTAAAAAGTCTAGTTTGCCAAGCGTGGTGGCACAAGCCTGTAATCCCAGCACTGGGGAGGCTGAGGCAGGAGGATTGCCTTGAGGTCCAGGCCAGCCTGAGCTACACAGTGAGTTCAAGGACAGTCTGCACTGTATAGTGAGATCCTGTCTCAAAAAAATAGAGGGTAGGGGAATGGGGGAAAAAGTTATATCAAAAAATTAAAATAAAAAGTCTGGTTCTCTCTGGAGATGTTCCAAGCTACTGCAGGTATTCATTTCCTTTCACCTCCTCTGCTTGGCTTGTTTTAAAATTCACTCTGCTGCACAGTGTCATGTGCAAACCTCCAAGGACATCCCCGAGGCCTGCGCTCCTGACAGCCCTCTGCCTGTGCTCTCTGCAGGCTGCTTCTCTGGAGACCTCTGCATGCTCCTGGGCTCTGTCCCGGAGCAGTTTCTCCCCACCCCCGGTACCGGGGATCGAACTCACGACCCTGCAGTTGCCGTGCAGGCGCTGTGCCGCTGAGCTAAACCTCCAGCCCCAGCTAAACCTCCAACCCGCCAGAGCAGTTTCTCAGCCCTGTCCTCTTCCATCCTCAGATCATGACCAACACGGGGAAGGCGCGGCGGAGGGGCCAGGCCGGCGTGCGGCGGAGCGGGGACGGGCCCCTGCGCAGGCCCGTCACCCCTGGCGGCCACAGGACCGGGTGCCCAGTGTAAGTCGGCTCGAGAGTCCGGAGTCTGTCTGCTGGGATTTGCTTTGCTTAACTGCCGTGTAAGGTGCATGTGTCTAAAATGCGAAATAAAGCACTGGTGTTGGAAAGCACTTATCTCTTTATCATTTATCTTTAGAGCACTTTTGCAGGGAGATGGTTGGGCCTTCACTCCCTACCCTACCTCCACGTTTCTTCCAGGAGGAGAAGTGGGTCAATTGCAGGGCTTCCAGGTCATTTCAGAGGAAAGGACCTGCAGCGTGGTGGGGCCACCGGGTACACTCCTGCTTGTCCTCTCTGCAGCCTCTCCCATAGCCCAGGCTCTCGCTCGGGGTGGGAGCCACACAGTTAAGACTCCAGGTCAAAGTCAGGCACAGTGAGGCACGTCAATATTTCTAGCACTAGCAGGCTGAGGCATGAAGATCTCTGCAAGCTCGAGACCCTCTGCAGGGCCATCACAAAGTGAGTTCAAAGCCAGCCTGGATTACATAGCAAAACCCCATCTACACACACACACACACACACACACACACACACACACGCTCGCACGCACGCACGCAGGACTCCAGATCTATTTGTAGATGACTTTAAGATACTTCTGTGCAGTGAGGGTGGGGCTCAGAGATGGAGAAGGTGCCTGACAGGCACGAAGCTCTGGGTTCCACACCCAGCACCAAAAAACAAAAGCCGGTAAGCAGCTGTGCGTGTGCTCGGCCACCAGGCATTCACGAGCCGTAGCCTCGCTCCTACCCCGTGGGACAAGTAAGCTTCGGCCGGTGCCCAGAGCCCCCCTCACTCTCCCCCGTGGGCTCAGCTCCCCGCCGTGACCCAGGGACTCCTCTCTCCTCGTCCAGAGGGTGCTGCAGGGAGTCACCCGTGGACAGGGTGGGCCCTGAGGGCAGGCCGAGCGCCTGCATTTACCCATCCGAGCCTACTTGCATTTTCAAAAGACTCAGAAGATAGCCAGTGTTGTTTGTTTGTTTGTTTGGTACTAGGGCTCAAACCCAGGACCTTGATGCTGAGCCACATCCCCAACCCTTATTATTTTATTTTTTATTTTGAGACAGGGTCTCGCTAAATTGCTAAAGCTGGTCTCTAACCTGCATCCTCCTGCTTCAGCCTTCCAGAGTGTTGAGAGGACAGGCGTGCACCACCACACTTGGCAAAAAGATATCAAATGTGAAGTGGTTGTGTTTAGAGGTCGGGATGGCGGGTCACGCTGTGTGTTCTCAACCCAGTTTCTCAACCCAGATGAACCCGGACTGGGTTTATCACTGGGTGCAGAGAGGTTGCAGCAAACACTGCACCAGGCCCGTGTGGCTCGGGGCTCCCACCCCTCCAGCCCGGGCCCAGGCCCAGCCCTCCTGGTCCAGGTGCCCCCTGCGCCCATCTCTGCCGCATCTCTGGCTCCTCACACATCCCCTCCTGAGGCCACCAGCTGGCTTCCACCGTGGCCCCTTTGGTTCCCCATTCCCAGCCCTGCAGTGGCTTCCAGGGGGCATTGCTGCTGGGCACAGGTCACCTTGCGGTCCCCACCCCAGGCCCTAGGGGCCTAGTGCACTCCCACTGCCACCTGGCCACCTGGCCACCTCCTTCCTGGCCGCTGTCTGCGGTCACCGCAATGTCCAGCATGGGCCTCTCCTCGGCGTCCCCGTGCCATCTGTGGTTCCCACACCCTGCCTCCTGCCAGCGCCTTCCAGAGCCTGGAGCAGGCCATCGTCCCGCCGGGGTTCTCTGGTTTCTGCTCCTACCCCAACACCCACACCCTCTAGGGCTTGCTGCTGGGTCCTCGATGAGGGGGTCCCCGCCTTCCTCCAGCCCAGGGGCCCAGCCTCCGCCCTGCCTCCGGGCCCTCCACGTCCAGGCAACCAGGCAGGGACCTTCTGGGGCTGATCACCCTTCCTTTGTCAACTCGCTGGAAATCAGGGCTAAATGCCTGATCCGCCGCAGGGCCTTCTCAGTCACCCCCTGGGGGTCCTCGGGGACCCTGCACCCTCACGGAGGGATGGACGGCTCCATTTTTTGTGGTGCCTTAAGTCTGAAATGCTGCAGTATAAATACCTATGTTTTGGGGCTAGGCGTGGTAGTGCACACCTGTGATCCCGGCACTTGGCATGCTGAGGCAGGAGCATCACAGTAAGTTTGCGGCCAGCCTGGGCTACATAGCCAGACCCTGTCTCCACAAAAGAAAAGACCTCCGCCCCCAGTCTTATGTTTGCCTGCCTCTGACACGCTGACAGGACCCCTGTCCTGTCTTCCCCGGCTGAATTCATCCCTTCACCCACCTCCCTCATCCAGGGCAAGGACCCAAAGCCCTGTGCCTGAAACGGTCGCCTGGAGTTGTCCTAGGCCCGGGACACCCAGAGCCCTGAGACAGGCTTAGACAGGTGTTAGGTGTCTAAGCCTGGCCAGGAGTGGTGGTGTCACCATGCCCATAAGTAATCCCTGCACTCCTGAGGCTGAGGCAGGAGGGTCACAAGTTCAAACCCAGCTGGGCAATGTAGTAATTTAGCCAGACGCTGTCTCAGAAAAGGGACAGTGGGCACTGGAGATGTTTGAAGGTCTGAGCTCAATCCCTAGTAATACTACTCCTACTCCTATCACTACTACTAATAAGTGAAACAGCTTAACAGGAGGGTGGCAGGCCTGGATTTGAGATGCTACAGGGGACCCATCAGTCAGCTGTCTCAACTCTGTGTAACCCTCACTGTTTTTCATACTTTACTGCAGGCTTGAGGACGTTTCTCCCCAGAATGCCCAACAGGCCAGACGCGGGTCCCCTCGGTCTCTGCAGGCCAGCTACACGGAGCCCACACCCGGGGTCCCTGAGCGCTGCCCGCCCTCGCCATGTAAGAAGTCGCCCTCTGCGGTCGGGTCTGGTGGGGTGGGCCGGTGACACCCAGAATCTCAGGGAGCAGCAGCTGGAGTTTCCTGTGCCAGCTGCTTCCGGGGACGCTTGACTCAAAACTTTAAAAAATAAAGTTTAAAAAGGGGCTAAGGATATAACTCACTGTGAAGGCCCTGGGCTCAATCCTCAAACCTTTTCTTTTTTTTCCGAAGCTGGGAATTGAACCCAGGGTCTTTGCACTGGGCTACATCCCCAGCCCTTTTTTAATTTTTCATTTTGAGACAGGGTCTTGCTAAATTGCCCAAGCTGGATTCAAACTTGCAATCCTCCTGCCTCAGCCTCCCAGAGTTCTGGGATTATAGGCATGCACCACCTCACCCGGCTTCAGACCCCACTTAAAATAATACAGCAGTGTAGCTCCATGGCCGGGGTCTCCATGCCTCAGTTCTGGTTCCAAGGTGCTGAGCACGGCCTCGAAGGCTGCCCAGGGTCAGAACACGGATTAGGGAGCAGACAGCTCCAGATCTGGGCGAGCTGTAACGCATACAGTTGAGCTAGCCAGAGACGGATGGGGGATAGAGGTTTTTTTTTTTAGATTCCAGGAAGAAAGAAATATTTTGAATCAGAAACATACAAAGTATTTGTGTTTAATTTTTGAAAGGAAATTGAAAGGATGGGGAGCAGCACAGATAAGCCTCCAATTTCCATTCAAATAGGAAAACAACCGAGGCGCTCAGATGCCAGGTGGGGCACATCTGACGCTCAGCTGCTGCGACCGGAGTCCAAGCCTCTGCTGGGTTCAGAGTCGGGGCAGGAAGGGGGTGAGGGGCTCCGAGCGAGCTTTTCGCCAGCTTTGCTCACCGGTTATTTTGTAAGTGTCGTAAGTTGTAAATACTCATTTGCTTTCGTGAAATGATCAGCTCACTCGTGTACCCTGAGACTCCCCTGCCAGGTGGAGGTCTTGAACGGGCTGACAGTTTTTACCATTTGCTCGAATGCCATTGAGATCAGAATGACTGGGAAGCAGGCCTAGACTTTCAAGCCAGCTGCGCTGTTCGTTTAGGGTCACTTAGTTGATCAGGAACACCCTAGTTTGCCCAAATGAGGTGCACAGTGGCCCCTGACTTTGTACTAATTGTAAATACGATTGCGTGCTCTGTGTGTGTGTGTGCGTGCGTGCGTGTGCTGCGTGCATGCATGTACGTGTGCGTGTGCGGTTCTGGCCATGGAACCCAGGGCCTGGTGTGTACCAGGCAAGCGCTGTGCCCCTGATCTGCACCCTGGCCCTGCTTGTCCCGTCTGGCACCTGAACTTGCCACACACAGAAACGGTTGAGTGGTGGCGGCGGCCCTTGTCACAGCGTTGATGTTGTTTTCAAGAGCGATCGATTTGAGCCCTTACAAAATCCAGGCCTTGGCAAATTCTTATTCCTTGCATGGGTACCGTGGGTGCCTGCCAAGGGCGTTGTGCCTTGGTGGTCATGGCATCTGCCCAGAGGCCCCAGGTACTCAGCTGCCCCCCGGGTGAGCAAATCTAACTCAGGATACACCCCGGGAGTGCTGGGCCCACAGCCCAAGCGTCCCTGCTCACACCCACCCCTGCCTCACAAACTGGCCCGGACCCAGGCTCCCGCCTCCCCTCCCCCTTCCCTCCCCCACCGCCTTTCCCCCTCCCCTCCCCCTTTCCCTCCCAGGCCCCGGTGCCACCCCTAGCACTGCTTCTGCCTCCTGCTGAAGATGGGGTGTTCACTGCCCTCACCCAGCCCCATCAGGCCTGCTTCTAGCCCAGGCCAGCACCCCGAGTTCTTAAAAGTCCTGTCCTTGAACATAAGTTCTCCCCGCTTTTGTGTGTGTGTGTGCTTGGGATTGAACCCAAGGCCTTTGCACTGAGCCACGTCTCCGGCCCTTTTTTTATCTGTCATTTTGAGACAGTCTTACTGAGCCACTGAGTCGCCCAGGCTAGGATTGAATATGCCATCCTCCTGCCTCAGCTTCCCAGAGTGCTGGGAGTACAGGGCTGTGCCCCACACTGGGCAGAGTTGTCCTGTTGGAGAGGTCAGACCTCCAGCTTTGGCTTTCTCCACTCTCCGGGCGCCTTTCTGCATCCCCAGCACAGACGCCATCCTCCTGCTGCCCACTCCGTCTAGCGCGTCCCAGCCACCCTGTGCCCCGCGCCGTGGCTGGAGCGAAGCCTGCTAGGGCCGCTCCCATGGCCACCATCGCTGCCCCCGCCTGGGTCTGAGCAGGCAGCAGCTGGGCTGCGCTCCAGGGCTTGCAGTGCGGATTCCTAGGCCTCCTCCAGGCTCCCAGAGGAGGGCCCGGGCTGCCAGGCCAGCAGACGCACACAGGGTGGGCTGGGCCAGCGAAGAGGGCTGTGTGGCAGGGGAGCACAGATGCAGCCTGGGCAGTACCTGGGGACCCCACTTGCCCAGGAAGCTTGCTGGCCCTGCAGGGGTGCTGAGGGGCTCAGCCGCATGCAGGGCCCAGGTAAACCTGGGTGCCAGGGGCGAGCAGTGCGGGGAGGCAATTCGTGCCCTGCTGGCTGTGCGGTCCCCATGCCTCCCAAGCTGGCTCCAAGCCGGCCCCGAGCGGGCAGGCACTCTGAGCTCTCTCTCCCCAGCAGCCGCAGATGCCATGGCAGGACGGCAGGAGGAGCCATGCCTGCCCCCCACGGGGACACCAAAGGAGGCACCCCAGGACCCGGGCAGCAGAGAGACCACCAGGTAGGGGTGCAGGCATCATGAGGCCTGGGTCTCCCCCACAGACAGGACTCGAGGACCCAGGTCTCCAGGACACCTCGGGCCCAGCCTCTGGGCACGGAAGCCAAGGAGCTTTCCTTGGCACTGGGAATGCAGAAACAAGAGTCCCAGTGGAAGCCAGCCTTGAACTCACTACATAGCCCAGGCTGGCCTCAACCTCATGGCAATCCTCCTGCCTCAGCCTCCTGAGCACTCGATCACAGGGGTGCGCCACTGGTGTGGGAGAAATATCACTGCCAACCTGCCAGGTGTCAGGCGTGCTGAGTTCATCTCTCCTGAACTGAAGAATGAATTCCATGGGACAAACAGGGTTAAGAGCAGGGAAGGTCTCTTGGCGAATGGGAATGGGGAATAGGAATAGCTGTGAGAGACAGCAGGGGTCCTTGGGGCCTCTGAGGCCTGTTGTGGGGAATAATGTGTACAGCAGTCACAATGTGGGTACAACATGGGCCGAACTGTAATCAACCAATCAGATCATACGTAGAGTGGCGAAGCTAACCTGATCCGGTAGGGAAGCACAGAGCATAGCCGGGGTGCAGGGGTGACGTCATTAACCTGGGCCCATCTGTGACTTCTACAACAGGAGCACTTGGAGAGGGGATGGGTCCAGACGGCCTGTCACCCATCCAGGTATCTGATGCGTATCTGGACCCAGTGGACCCGGCAGTGTCAATTACAGTATAATCTCAAGTTTCCCTTCATCCCTTAGGGTTTGGCCCTTGGGACTTTCATCTCAAGGCCTGGTCTTCCTTCCTCAGATGCGCCTCTAGCCACAATTATGCTGTCTCTGCATTTCACTGACTTCCGAGAGAGCCCAGTCCCTCTCCAAGTGTAAATTACTTTTTGGTCCTTTTGTGTTGCTTTGTTTTGTTTGTTTTGTTTAAGACAGGGTCTCCCTGTGCAGTTCAGCCTTGCTGTGAACTCACTATGTAACCCAGGCTGGCTTGGAACTCTCAGTGATCCTCCTGCCTCAGCCTCCCTCCAGAAAGCTGGGATTACAGGCGTGTGCCATCACACCCCACATTGTGTATTAATTTTTACCTAATTCAGCTGCCTACACCACTCATCCAGCTGCCTGCGCTACTTTGTCCTCCCTGCCCCCTCCTGCCAGACTGCTGCCCCAGCCCCTAAGGTCTCAGCCAATCACGGCCCAGTGCAGCTCCCCTCCCCAGACTCCCACTCTCCAGGGCTGTCCCCGCTGTCCTCAGAGACACCACACGAGGACCTGCCACTGTCCCTGTGCCTGGCTGTCCTGTCTGGTGTTTGATGAACACGTAGGAAAAGCGGGGAAGTGCAGCCATGCGTGTGGCTCCGGTGGGGACATCTTCCCAGCGCCCCCTGGCTTGCTGTCCCCTGTGTCTTTCAGGAAGGCGGGGGAGAGACACTGGGTGGGCAGCGTAGGGCCCCAGTCCATGGCGGGCTGAGTGGTGGCACTGCCCTGTCACTCGGTCTCCCTGCCGCCCCTGGTCACCCCTGCGACCCTGGACCCTCCGCGCGGCCTGGGGAGGGCGTGGGCTCCTCACGTGGTCTCCCGTGTCCTGACCTGGGCCAGGTCAGAAGCGCACGAGTCAAAGCCCAGTCCTGCCCCAGACAGGAAGTGGCTCTTCTGCAAGCACAGGGTAAACATCCCGCTCAGGGGATCCAAACCCTGAACCAGCCGAGCGCTGACGTCGGCCGCAGTGGAAAATCTCACACCAAGAAGCTGTTTTGTGCACAGGATTGTTAAAAATACTGAACTCGATTAGTCAGCCTGGGGGTGCGCTCCTATAGTCCCAGCCTTAGGGAGGCTGGGCAGGAGGACCCCGAGTTCAAGGCCTACCCGGGCAGCTTAGTGAGACCTTTCTCAAGAAGAGTTTTTGTTAAAGTGCCAGGGTGTCGCTTGTGGCAGAGTACCCCAGGATCTGACTGGTGTGTCCCAGTGTCCCCCTGTCCGCCACTTCCTGGGTTGTCACGGCCCAGGCGAGGTATGTGCCAGAAGGAGAGAGCTTCCCAGTGCCGGGAGCAGAGACCTTCGGGGCCCCGCCCATGCCAGCTGTGCCTTCCTCACACGTCGCAGGGGCCGGGGATCCTCAGCGGGACGCAGCGGCTGGTAATGCAGTGGCTGAAATCCCTCTGAGCCCTGTATTGCTCTTCCCTGAGACAGTGTCCCCCTGCAGCTGCCACCCTGCCGGGGCGGGGGTGCAGACGAGTGACCGCTGCCGTCAGGGTGCCTCCGCCTCTGCACGTCCACCAGAACCACCTTCCTGCCAGCCCCAGCACCACCCAGCGCCATGTGTCCCTGGATCAGAAGCCACCGCCACCCCAGCCGTCCCCGCCCATCGCCTGCCGGCCAGCTGGCCCCTTCCCAGGCGGGGCCGAGCTCACCTTGAGGCCCCAACTGCCCTTCCTGGCGACAGAGGCCCTGCTCCTCATTATCTCACCCCTCCTGCTGCAGCCCCCAGCGCGCTTCCCCTGAGCCAGCCAGGGCCGCAGCCCAGGGCAGAGGGGACAGCCGTGTTAAGTGGTGATGTGGGCTCCTCCTAAGATATACAGACAGGGAGATTAATTTTAAGCAGTTGACTCCTATGAGGTTTGAGGCTTGGTGAGTCCAAAGTATGGCAGGAGGCTGGGCGTGGTGGCGCACCCCTGTGATCCCAGCATTCAGGAGACTGAGGCAGGAGGATCGCGGTGAGATCGAGGCCAGCCTGGGCTTCACGGTGAGTTCTAAGCCAGCCTCAACTGCACAGTGAGTTTCCTTGCTTCACACACACACACACACAAAAAAAAAAAAACACAAAAAAATTTTTGAACCAAATAATATAAGAAAGGGACAGCCTCACTTGACCTTACAGGCAGCTTCTTGTCCAGGTCAGGAAAGTGTCAGCGAAGCACTCATCTCATTAATTTACCTTTTTCATTGGTCAGAGAGCCCCACCTGGAAAATTCAAAGAGCAGGAAGTTGCCCCAAGTGACCTTTGATCCCAGCGCCAGGCACATTTCTCGGCACACAAGCATTGTCTCGGTTCCCGAAAGAGCAACGGGACATAGGTTAAAAACCACCAGAGTGCAGAGGCCGGCCGGGCGACAGCGCGCATAGGTGTGCCGAGGGACAGTGACAAGACCATGGGAACTGTAGCCAGAGACCGGGAGGGGGCTGAGAGACAGAGCAGCGGTGCCTGAGACTGTGCAGAGGACACGCACAGACGTAAGAGGTGCCGCATGGCAAATATGTGGGGCTATCAGGCTGGGCATGGTGACGCACGCCTGCAATCCAAGCGCTAGGGAGGCTGAGGTAAGAGGATCGCCATGAGTTTGAGGCCAGCCTTGGCTACATGGTGAGACCCTGACTCCAAAAAAATAATTTTTCTTTTTGGTACCGGGAATCGAACTCAGGACCTTGCACTTGCCAGGCAGGCGCTGTGCCGCTGAGCTATATCCCCAGCCCTCCAAAAATTTTTAATTAATCAATTAATTAAAAAGTAGGATCAAATCTCCATCCTTTGGAACTTGGTTCAACGGCTTCTTCCCTAAAATAGGGTCAGTTTTATGCCAGTCTTTTCCTAACTTGAACCTGGAGACTTTTCAGGCAGTGTCGGTATGATTTTTCTAATTGTGTTTTGTTTGTTTTTCACAGACAGGGTCTTGTGACATAAATTGCCATACCCAACAATTTTTCTAATTGTTTGTTTTGTTTTTGTTTTTGTTTTTTGTCTTTTTGAGACAGGGTCTCGCTGTGTGGTTCAAGCTGGCCTTGAGCTCACTTTGTAGCCCAGGCTGGTCTCGAACTCTCAACGATCCTCCTGCTTCAGCCTCCCGAGTGCTGGGATTACAGGCATGTGCCGTCACGCCCGGCCCAATTTTTCTAATTGTTAAAGTGATATCTTTTCAGCTGGAGGACATAGCTCCGTGAGAGAATGCTTGCCTAATATGCTTGAGGGCCTGGGTTTGATCCCTGGCACTATGAAAAGATTTTTTTCAATTAAAAAATGTTAATGATATATTCTCAACATAAAAAGAATACAAGAATATAGAAATAAATCAGGCCAAAAATATCCACAGCTGGAGACCAGGTTTCCCTCCCCAGATCTTTTTTTTTTTTTTTTTTTTTTGTCTTTTTGAGACAGGGTCTCACTATGCAGTTCAGGCTGGCCTGAGTTCACTTTGCATGGCTGATCTCAAACTCACAACGATCCTCCTGCCTCAGCCTCCCGAATACTGGGACTACACCCGTGAGCCAATGTGCCTGGCCCCTCCCCGGATCTGTAACCCCACTCCTGGGCACTTCTTTAGCCCAGGGCCAGGAGGCAACCTTGTGGAGCTGTGGCACCATCCAGTACCACTTTTCAGGAGAGAAACCGCAACTCCTGGGTGTCAGGAACTTGATCCGTGCTGTCACCAGCCAGGGAGAGGTGGAGCAGCGTGATGTCCTCGGACCATGCTGGGGAGCCCCCAAGGGCCCGGGTCTGGGCCTCAAACCCCAGCATAGAGTGCTCTGCCCAGCTCGCCCCAAACACCTGCCACCTCCACCAGGGGTGCCAGCCAGCCGTAGCTCTGTGTCCCACAGGAGACTGTCCTGCCGCAGCCCAGTACGATCATGTGTGGGGACCCCCTCGGGCAGGGCGGGGGCGCTGCTGGGTTCCACCGGTGCCAACCTGAGCTCGCTGGGTGGCAGCCACACCCTGAGTCACAGCGTGGGCACAGGGAGGTAGTAAGGGACCCTGGGGCCACCGTGAGAACGAGGGCTGGGGTTACAGCTGTGCGCCCCCACGCCAGCCACGGCTTCAGCGTCATCTCAGGGAGGCTGCCTGTGGCTGCCACATCCAAGAGCGCCTTTTGCTGCTGCGCCGAGCTCCCACACCCAAACCCCAGGCCAGCACAAATGTGCGACGTCCCTGTTCTGCAGGGGCCAGGGTCAAGGTGTGAGGACAGGGAGAGTCTTTCCCGGGACGCTGTTCCCGCCGTACCCGCTAGAGCCTGGGGCCCTACCTAACCCTCAAGCCAGCAGCGGTGCTTGGGACCAGCGCCACGTCGGTGTGACCCTGAGCCTGTGGTAACCCTGGCAGCGTCCTAACCCCGACGGGACAAAGTCACTAGAAAGCCCCAGCCCCGGCGCCTACCCTCAATTCCCAGTGGACATGAGCATTAGCTTTGCAGAAGCCCAGAGATGTTCAGTTGGCCCAGGCCCCTTTGTCCACGCAGCTGTGACCGCCAGCCCTGCCCGAGGGCTCGGGAGCCTCCTTCAGCCAAGGCCCACTCAGCAAGCTCCGATAGCCAAAGGTCCATCTGCAGCCTTACTCCTTTGTTGCACAACGTGGATTAGTCACAGTTTCCCAAGATCGGGACCCAGGTGTCCCTGGGACCTTTATTCTGCTGGCTGCGCTGTCCGGACCATGCTGTCTGAATGGCACATCCCTGGGATCCCAGGACTCAGAGGCTGAGGCAGGAGGATCACTGTGTTTGAGGCCAGCGAGGGTTCCATAGCGAGACCCTGCCTCAAAATAAATAAAAGTTAATACACCCCCAGGTGCTTGGCTTCTGTCTAGACTGTGAGCTCTGCAGGGCTGAGTCTCGGCCTGAGAGCGGCCTGTGCCAGCTGTCCAGCCAGTGACCGTGTGCTGCTGCCCATGCTTCCTAGACCGTTTCCCCCCGCCTCTGCCTGCAAGCCCCGGACGCCTCGCGCTCTGGAGACCCTGGAGCCGCAGGCCCCCAAGGTGAAGGCGTCAGCGCTGGCCCCCCAGTTCTCTTCGTGCAACCCCCAGCGGGCCAGCCGCACCAGCTCCTCTGCGTCCTCCACCAGGGGCCTGCAGGGTGAGTTGGCCTGGGCCCTGTGGCTCGCAGAGAAGGGCATTTTGTTCTGACCTTTGGCCCTGGGGGACCTCTTATTTTTTAAAAAACTTATTGGTGTTCTGAAACAGGGTCTCACTCTGTAGCCCACACTGGGCTCGAACATCGATCCTCCTGCTTCAGCCTCCTGAGTGCACCCTCTGTGTGCTCACCAAGCAGGTGGCTTCCCTTGCCCCAGAGACCTCTCCTTTGGAAATCTTCCCTGCTTGTGAAATCGCCCATGGCCTCTGGCTCAGCACCACTGGTGGGGTGAGACCCACCCTCTAGGCGGGACCCTCGAGAGGACGCCCTCGGGGAGGACCCTCGGGGAGGACCCCCTCTGGGGCTTGCTCTTCCGCCCAGTCCCTGTCCCTGTGGCCAAGTGGCCACTAATTCGAACAGAGGCAGGTGCTTCCCAGCAGGAGGGCCAGGGTGGGTACAAGGGTCCCAGGCCGCCCTTTACTCACCATCGGAGCCACCTCTCCATCTTCCTCTGTCCCCTCCCAGCCTCGGCCAGCTGACAGCCCCCACCCCTTCTCCACACACACCTGTAGTCCTAGCACTCGGGAAGCTGAGGCAGGACGATTGTCATGGCTTCGAGGCCAGCCTAGGCTACATCTCGAGACCCTATCTCAAAAAACCAAAAAATAAATAAAATGAAAGACGGGAAAAAGAACAATGTCAGGCACCACAACCGTGCCCACATGGCTGTCCACACTTGTGCGACAGCCCGGCCCTCCCTGCCCACTCCCTTCTCGGCAGCCTGGGGTCCGTGCCAGTTGGGGACCCGCTGGGCTGCAGATGCGGAGAAGTGCTCTTGGCAAAGCCACCACGACCCTGTCCCCAGGTACCACGCATGAAGTCGGGCCGCAGTCAGGCCGCTTCCTCCCGGGCCTGGGGCGACACTGGCATGCTTGGGACAAAGGCCCCGGGGCCTGTGTGAGCCTCCGGAAGGCCCTCTGAATCCCTCGCACTGAGTGGCTGAAAGGGGGACTGTCTGGGTCAGAGGGGCCTGTGGGAAGCCTGCCTGGCGCTGGCAGCTCTTCTGCTTTTCCCTCCCCAGGCGGCCAGTGTTGCCGGAAGTGAGGGCAGCTGCCTTCCTGGGTGTCAACGTCATGCTGTCCAAGGGCCAGCCAGCCACTGCGGGTGACAGATGTGAAGAGACAGTCATCTACAAGACGGCGCGGGGCCCTCTAGCCGCCCAGGGGCGAGGCCGTGCGGCCCAACCATCGGGCAGCGCCTGCAGGGGGCAGGGAGAACCCCGACAAGGAGAGAGGACGTCCCTTTGGCCTTGGGGACCCTCTGGCCCCAGGAACAGCAGGTGTGGACTGGGGGGTCCCCGGCCGTGTTAGGCACCCAGCTGAGCAGACAGCGCGAGGCCAGACGGTCAGCCTCTTCCAGGACAGTGACAGCGGCGGCCTCCTGGGAGCCAGCTATCTTCACAGCACTGTAGAACTCCATGATGTGACCAGCCAGGTAGCCACAAGCCACAAGCCGCTGAGGACTGGGATGCAGAGGAAGGAGCCTCCTCCAGCCACCCGCCTCCGAGCCACACTGTGTTTCCCTCCACTTTCAAACTCTGATGACTATGATGTGTTTGTGTGTGTTCACAGCAGCCCTGCACCCCTGCCTGTTTTGTAAGGCCTTAGAAAGTTACCCAGTTTAATTAGTGCCATTTCCCACCCCCCACTAAGACCATAAGCACAGCCAGGTATTGTGTCACACGCCTGTAATCCTAGCACTCTGGAAGGCCGAGGCAGGAGAATCACAAGTTCAAGCCCAGTCTGAAAACTTGGTCACTTAACAAGAATCTGTCTCAAATTTTAAAAAAAAAGTAAAGGGTTGGGGCCAGACATGGTGGCACACGCCTGTAATCCCAGCACTCGGGAGGCTGAGGTAGGAGGATTGCTGCCAGGCGGGGCTACATAGTGAGTTCAAGCCCAGCCTAAACTACATAACAAGATCCTGTCTCAAAAAAATAAAAATAAGGGGTTGAGGTTGTAGCTCAGCGCAAAGACCCTGGATTCAGTTCCCAGTTTGGCAAAAATAAATAATGAATAAATAACCACAGACACAAGCGTTCCTGCAGCAAAGTAATCAGTCCCTGCTGCTCCATGGGGAGAGACAGCAGCCCCAGGTCTCAAGACAGGGGAAGAAATCCACCTTCAGAGCCATCATGACCCAGGCGTCCTAAACGTTACCGGAGCTGTAACCAGCATTTAGGAGGCAGTGTGTGCGTGTATGCGTGTGTGCACATGTGCGTGTGCGTGTGTGCATGCATGCATATGTGTATGAGTGTGTGTGTGCAGGGGGTGGGCAGCAAATGGAGGTTGCATGCCACCCATGGCACCAATGAGCCAGGCGTGCAGGATGACAGCACCCGAGGGCTCCCAGCAGAGGCACGGTAGAACCCCGTGGTGTCACTGGCCTGGCAGCCACAAGCAGGTTCTCTGGACGTGTGTGCCCCACTCATTTCTCAGGAGGAAGCTTCAGGCTTGGGCTCAGCACCCTCTGAGCCCCGGTGTGGCCTGTGGGTACCTGCAGTGTGGACGCAGGAGCTCTGCGTTGTATCCAGAGGGAAGCGGCGCCCTGGAGTGGATCGGCTCGAAGGCCAGCGGGGGAGGTTGCGGGGAGCCGCTGGGCTCCCGCCCCCACCCATCCACTCCCCCGGATTCCTCGGGCTCCGCGGCCTGGCACGGCCATTCCCTGCCTGCCACAGGGCAGCGGTAACCAGGGCTGGGCGAGTCTCCGCTCTACCCAGGGTCTCCTGGCAGGAAGGCAGCTGCTGTCAGCCCCTCAAGCCCACAGATGGGTGCGGGACTGACGTAAATGCTGATTGTTTGAGGAGGAGAAAAGTCCATGTTTTTTCAGGGGGTGGGGTATCCAGCTTGGGGGCAGAACAGACCTGATCCCCGGGGAGGCCTGGGCAATCCTTCAGGGAGAGTAAACACCACCATGGCCTCCCTCCCTGCGCCCTGGGGAGGCCTCTCCTGGGTTCCTTGCAAGGCTGAAACACATTTCAACAATCTAGCCAGGTGTGATGCACACCTGTAATCCCAGCCCGTGGGAGGCAGAAGCAGGAGGATCACCTCAAATATGAGGGTGGCCTGGACTATGTAGCAGACCCTGTCTAAAAAAAACTAAAAATACCAACAATTTATCCATAAATAGTCCAACACTGCTGACTCCCTAAAGATTCAGTGAAGTTGGCTATGAACCTGATGTATAGGGGAAAAAAATCAAATATATGTTTAAAAAAGCAAAACCTTCTTCAAGGGTGCCTGGAGTTCTCATCACGGGGTTCCCAAGATTTGCCCGTAAAACCCCAAGGAAGCAGCTGCGCCACGCTCACAGCGAGGTGAGCGCAGGGGAGACGCAGCCCTCAGCCTCGGCCCAGCCCTGCTCTCTGATCACCCCAAACCCCATCTTCGTTTCTCTGTCTCACCTGCTTCCTGCATACCAAGGTGGAGCTGTCTGGTGAAGACTTAGAGCATGTCCCTGGGTGGGAAGTACATGAGGTCTGCAGATATCAGGGCCGGACAGCAGGGAGGGAGGGATTTGACCCAAATCAAAAGAGCTAAATTTTAAAAATGGGTAAATAAAATTAATAAAGAAAGGCAAGTTATCAAATGTAGTTTTAAAATGTAATAAAAAAAACAAGTCCAGCTGGGCATGGTGGTGCACATCTGTAATCCCAGCACTTGGGAAGCTGAGGCAGGAGGATCGCCATGAATTTGAGGCTAGCCTGGGCTACATAGTGAGTTCTTTTTTTTTTTTTTTTTTGAGACAGGGTCTCACTATGGAGTCAAGACTGGCCTTGAGCTCACTTTGTAGCCAAGGTTGGTCTTGAACTCACAAGAATCCTCCTGCCTCAGCCTCCCAAGTGCTGGCATTACAGGTGTAAGCCACCACGCCCGGCTACATAGTGAGTTCAGAGCCTGAACTACATAGCAAGCGCCTGTCTCAAGAAACCAAAAGTTGCTGGGCTTGGTGGCACACGCCTGTAATCCCAGCACTTGAGAGGCTGAGGCAGGAGGATCGTTGCGAGTTCAAAACCAGCCTGGTGAGCTACAAAGTGAGCTCAAGGTCAGCCCAAACTGCATAGCAAGACCCTGTCTCAAAAAGACAAAAAAAAAAGAAACCAAAAGTACAAGTCCAACCCTGAATTTGTATGATCCTGCCTCCTGCCTGGTTTGCCTAATCTTAATCCTTTTTTTTTTTTTTTTCTGTGACAGGGTCTCACTGTGTAGTCCAAGCTAGCTTTGAACTCACTATGTAGCCCAGGCTAGCCTCAAACTCATGGCAATCCTCTTGCCTCAGCCTCCCAAGTGCTGGGATGACAGGCATGCACCACCACACCCAGCCTAATCCTATCTTGTCCCTCATTCCGATAAAAGTTTACTTATAAAAATAGGCAGCTGGTACATGGGCCAGTTTGCTGATTTTATTTTTTAAAATATTGCATTAAACCATTATTCATCTCTTTTATTTTTTTGGTTTTTTTGTTTGTTTGTTTGTTTGTTTTCCAGTACCAGGAATTGAACTTATGACCTTGCGCTTGCCAGGCAGGCGCTGTGCCGCTGAGCTAAATCCCCAGCCCCACTATTACTTATCTCAATTACTAATTTTTTGGTGTCCTCTTGAATTCATGGACCTCTTAAACCCTGCCCTGGGATATGGGGAGCTTCCTGGGTGCTCCCCGTGCACCCCATAGCAAAACCCCTTGGCTGGGTGGCTGGGTGCTCAGTCCTAGCTGCCACCACCTTCACTGACACTGTCACTGCAAGTTGTGTTAAGGGGTGGTGCTTGGCCTTTGCTGGTGACAAACCATTTCCAAAACTCACTAGTTTAAAACAGCAGTTTCTCAGCTTTACAGTGATACGGACATTATGGTTCAGACCTAGAATGTCCCCAAAAGGCTCATGTAGCCAGAGGTAGCCTCTGGGGAGGTGACTGCCTCACAGGGCACTGTGCTCAGCAGTGCATTCACCCACTGACGAGCTCCCAGCCAAACATGGTGTGAGGTCAGGCCCGGGTGGAGTCGCTGTGTCACTGGGAATGTGAACTGGCAGTTATTCTTTTGTTTTTGTTTTGAGACAGGGTCTTGGTATGTAGTTTGGGCTGGCCTCAGATGGGAAGTCCACTCCTCAGCCTCCCAAGTGCTGGGCTTACACCCAGCTGGAAGGTGTGAGCTTGTCCCTGGCTCCTCCCCGCTCCCTCGGCTTCCTGATTGCCATGGGGTGAGCATCTTTGTCTGCCAGGCCCTTTCACCACGCCATTTCTGTCTTGGAGCCAGCTGACCACGGACTGTACCCTCTGAAACTGTGAGTTAAAATAAAGCTGTCCTTCACGTGTTAGTGTCAGGTATGCTGTCCCAGCGATGGAAAAGTAACGGATGCAGTGGGTCAGCAGAGGGGAGGGCTTGGATGACTGGATGGTGCATTGGTGGCCAGAGAGCACCCAGGGGCCTCACCCGTGTGTGGCATCAGCTGTTGCCCAGGCACATGTTCTCCAGGGAGGCCTCGTCCTGCAGAAGCTGGGGTTGTTCACATGGTGGCCCCGCGTTCCCACCACATGAAGACCAGGTCCAAGGCTGTTCAAGTCTTCAAGTCTCCACCCACATCACAGGACTGTCCTGCCCTGGGCCGAGGCTCAAGTCTGCATGGATGGCCGTGGCCCAGCCCAGAGCACCGGCCCCTGAGGAAGGACAGGTGGGCGGATTTCAGGAGAACCTGGCAGGACGAGGAAAGGCTGGGCCTGGAGAGATGTATCCAGTGGTCTGCGTGCAGGGTCGGAGCCTGAGAGTGCAGTGAGGGTTTGCAGAGCAGGAGCTCGAGAAGCGCAACCCCAGGAAGATCCCGGGGTGTGGGGCAGCAGAGTCTCCAGGAGGTGGAGGGGACAGCAACCCGCGGCTGCCTGCAGGAGCCAGTTCCCTAGAGCCTTGACCAGCAACCACGCGGCAGAGAGCGGCACAAGGGAAGGAGCTTCAGGGTGAGGCTCGGAGGTCAGAGGTGGTGGAGAAGGAAGGGCCGGCAGCTAGTCCCTGAGCTCTGGGAGAGGAGACTGCAGCCAGGCCCCACCGTGAGCCCGAGGGGTGTGGGAAGCACAGGGCCCACCAGAGCCCCCTCTGTCACCTGGACAGGAGGCAGTGGTGTGCCAATGCCAGCCCCTAAGAACCGACCACCATGCCAGGCATGCCTGTCATCCCAGCACTCAGGAGGCTGGAGCAGGAAAATCACCCTGAGTTCAAAGGCCTGAGCAGGAGGCTGGAGCAGGAAAATCACCCTGAGTTCAAAGGCCAGCCTGAACTGTGTAGCGAGACCCTGTCTTAAAAAAAAAAAACAGAATGGCAGAGCCAAGGGTGGTGCATGCCTGGCGCAGCCCCTGTCCACCTCCCTCTCCACGCGCCTGGCATCAGCTGGCTTGTAGGCTGCACCAGCAAAAGCCGGCCGGGCCTCCTCCTGGCTCTGAGAGGACAAGGTCTCCTCCGTGACATGGGTGTTCCTTGGCGCGCTGCCTGTGCCCACACTTCGGTGCCCCGACCTGCCTCCCAGCAGCACACCTCTGGGCTGGGCGTGGCCAGCTCCCGGCTGCCAGGTAGCAGCGTGAGTCACCCTTCCTGGTAGTGTGAGCACCCTGAGTGCGAGGTCAGAGCCCTGCACTTGGCTCTGGCTCTGGGCCTGGGGCCAGGAGGAGAGGACTGTGGGCCCCGCTCAGACGCCAAGGTCCCTGGGCAGTGTGCGAACCAGGCTTGAGCCCGGCAGCAGCTTCTTTGGAGAAGAAGCCGGGCGAGA